TATATATATATAGATAGATAGATAGATAGATAGATAGATAGATAGAGATAGATATAGATACAGATATAGATATATAGATATATATGTATGTATATATGAATATTCATTTAAGTATGTGTGTATAAGTATATATATAAGTATGTATATATGTATATGTATATATACACGCACACATGCACATGTTTGAATATATATGTGTAGCGAGGCATAGACCTAGTAGACTTTAAGTGGTCTGGTTGAGTCCGGGCTCAACCGAGAATATGGATTTCTTTTGATTAAGGAAAAATTCGCCTGCAGTGAACAGATGTAAGGTTCCAGGCCTACGGCACGCTGCCACCACCCGATTAGTAGGTTCGGGAACCGTGTGTGTCGTGTAAGTGGGTGTGGGTGTTGTATCAGAGAAGGGTGGAAGGAAAGTACAGAATGTGTGTGCTGAATGTTGGATGTGTAAGTGTGTAGATGTGAAAAGGGAGATAGTGTAGGCTGAGCGTCTGCGTGGGCGTGTTTGGAAGAAAAAAGCAAGATTATAGAATTCTTCTTCCCTTCGGTTTGAGCATCGGCCTGCTTGAAGCGGGAACCCAGGTAAAGCAAAATTAAACTGTCCTTTTGATATCAGCTTAATATTCCCTGATTTATCTAGCCATTTTACAGCCTTTCAAGGGTTGCGTGATATGAGAGCAACCAGCAATGTGTTGTTTAGGAGACCCGAGTCCGAGAAAGATATAGGCATCTAACCTTGGTCAGAACCAGAACTTCAGTGGTTGTAAGATTAATTTATATTCTGACTGGAGTTGAGTAAAAGCTCTAAGATGGTATGATGTTTATTTTAGGAGCAAGTTGCACTCACTAGCGAGTTGCAGGCATTTTCAGTCATGGAAGGGTAGACAAAGGTATGTGCATCACCAATTTATCACAGCAGCGGTGATGTCCGAGAAAACAACACCAGATAAACTTACCACGTAATGTATACATAAAAAAAAATGTCTTCCCTAAGTTGGCGTTCCAACTCCAGAAGTACTGTTAATAGGGGTCAGCATAAAAACATCAAAGTCCCTAAATTACGTTAAATTGTTATCCAACCCAAATGGATGTCAACTGTTAAAATTAAAAGTTAATGCTGACGGATACCTAGTAACAGTACTTATGTGCAAAAGAATTGAAATGAATTAATATGAAGGCTGAAAAAGTCAAGGAAGAGACAATTCACGAAGACTGTCCGAACGCCCACAAGGTCAGACAGGAATCAGCCGAAACAACAACAAACGTCAACGACATAAATAGCAAATACCATGTGATGACAAGATTAAAGATCTTCAAGAGATACGGATCCCAAAGACTGCCTGATCACTCACAAGGTCAGGCAGAAATCAAAGAGAGATCTATATCACAAAAATATACGTAAAAAGATCTTGAAGACCTTTATCCCCGGAGGTACGGGTCCTCAAGCAGGGACGATAAAAAAACATTAAAATATTCAGGAGATATGAATCCTCAAGTACGAACGAAATAAAACAACTAACGTAATAACAGTCGTAAAAAGTGAGTCACACTAGAGGTACAATTACAAAGGGCTGCTTGATCACCCACAAGGTCAGCCAGAAGTCCACAGAAACCATGCATTATGCAAAACAAGACAAACAAACCCAAATCGATAACATACGTAAGAAAAAGATCCAGAGGTACGGATCCTCAGGCAAGAACGAAAGCAAGCTTAGTAATAACTTAGCTGTAAAAATGATAATTACACTGGAGGTACGGATCCTCAAGCAGTGTTCCTCTAAACCACTTGGTCTTAATGCTCTCAAACAGTTGGAAATAAAAAGTACTGCTATGGGACTTCACGAAAGAGTGCACCCTGCAGATAATAATGCAGTATGTCACGCTAAAGTCCAAAAGAGACCAGTCGTCTCCTACACACAACCGTCAATCACTTAGCTTGAGGAGATACTCAGCAATCCTGGCGTAAAGCGAGGTAAATCCAAACGTGAAGTAAATCCAAACGAGAGCACAACACAGGTAAAACTTTCATGGCCCGGGCATGGCGCGAAAGAAGAAAATAGGCAAATGAAGTGCCTGAAGACCAAGCCGATGGTTCGACAACCCAAACGACCAAGACGGGAGAGGGAAGGGAAAAACAAAAAAGAAAAACGGGGTAACGACCATCACCTCCCTCGGTGGTTATCGCGACAATTTGGAGATGTCGACAAGGGGAAAGAACATTAGAAAAAGATAAATAAAGGAAAGGATACGGGGAAATCCGATAATAAACAGTTGTGGTAAGAGCTGTGCATTTTGGCCATAACATATTTACAATATTTAGGCTTAAAAATAAATAGTTATTTTGGCTTGGCGACTTCAACGCCATACATGCAGTGAGTCTTGGTAAAAATTACGTTCATGGTTATAAAAATAACCTTCATATCATCTCTACAGACATAGAATCATCTCTGTCCTTGACTGGTGGTTGGACTTGTAAAAGAAATATATATATATATATATA